ACACTGATCCTAAGCTCTGTCCCCAGCTAGCTCCCAGCAGAGCGCACCGAAGCCGTCTCCCTCTCCTCCACTGTCTATATGTACACGGGAGGAGAAGGGGGAGGAGGAGGAGAGACACCGCTGTGCAGGTCTGTGCTGATCTGAGGTCTGTACCGATTCTCTTAGTGTTCCTGGACAGAGGAGGGGGACAGAATGACCAGGAAGGGGGGGGGGGAAAAGTTAAAAAAAATTAGTGATGGGGGTTATGTGCTGGGGGGGGGGGGCACTTTGGGAGGGGAGAGGATCTATACTAGAAGTTGGTTTTGGAATTGAAATCTGACCCCAAAGCGCTCCCCCCAGCACATATCCGATCCCCCCCCCCCCCCGCACCTCCCTACTAGCACAAGTGGAGGGGGGTCTGTACTGAGAGAGGGAGGTCTATAATGATGGAGAAGGGCCTGTACTTAGTGGAAGGGGGGTCTATACTGAGGGAGGGGGGAATCTATACTTAGAGGGGAGTGAGGTCTGTACTCAGAGAGGGGGGTCTGTACTGAGGGGGGACTATACCCGGAGGGGAGAGGGGGGTCTATACTTGGTGGAGAGGGGGTCTGTACTGAAGTGAGGGGGGATCTATACTTGGTGGAGAGGGGGTTTGTACTGAGGTGAGGGGGGGTCTATACTTGGTGGAGAGGGGGTCTGTACTGAGGTGAGAGGGAGGATATATACTTGGTGGAGAGGGGGTCTGTACTGAGGTGAGGGGGGATCTATACTTGGTGGAGAAGGGGTCTGTACTGAGGTGAGGGGGGATCTATACTTGGTGGAGAGGGGGTCTGTACTGAGGTGAGGGGGGGATCTGTACTTGGTGGAGAGGGGGTCTGTACTGAGGTGAGGGGGGATCTATACTTGGTGGAGAGGGGGTCTGTACTGAGGTGAGGGGGAATCTATACTTGGTGGAGAGGGGGTCTGTACTGAGGTGAGGGGGAATCTATACTTGGTGGAGAGGGGGGTCTGTACTGAGGTGAGGGGAGGATCTATACTTGGTGGAGAGAGGGGTCTGTACTGAGGTGAGGGGGGGATCTGTACTTGGTGGAGAGGGGGTCTGTACTGAGGTGAGGGGGGATCTATACTTGGTGGAGAGGGGGTCTGTACTGAGGTGAGGGGGAATCTATACTTGGTGGAGAGGGGGTCTGTACTGAGGTGAGGGGGGGTATATACTTGGTGGAGAGGGGGTTTGTACTGAGGTGAGGGGGGTCTAAACTTGGTGGAGAGTGGGTCTGTACTGAGGTGAGGGGGGATCTATACTTGGTGGAGAGGGGGTCTGTACTGAGGTGAGGGGGGGATCTGTACTTGGTGGAGAGGGGGTCTGTACTGAGGTGAGGGGGGATCTATACTTGGTGGAGAGGGGGTCTGTACTGAGGTGAAGGGGGATCTATACTTGGTGGAGAGGGGTCTGTACTGAGGTGAGGGGGGATCTATACTTGGTGGAGAGGGGGTCTGTACTGAGGTGAGGGGGGATCTATACTTGATGGAGAGGGGTTTTTTTACTGAGGTGAAGGGGGATCTATAATTGGTGGAGAGGGGGTCTGTAATGAGGTGAGGGGGGGATCTATACTTGGTGGAGAGGGGGGTCTATACTGAGGTGAGGGGGCGATCTATACTTGGTGGAGAGGGGTCTTTACTGAGGTGAAGGGGGATCTATACTTGGTGGAGAGGGGCTCTGTACTGAGGTGAGGGGGATCTATACTTGGTGGAGAGGGGTGTCTGTAGAGGGAGGGGGGATCTATACTGGTGGAGAGGTGAGAGGTGGGGGGGTCTATACTTGGTGGAGAGGGGGTCTGTACTGAGGTGAGGGGGGATCTATACTTGGTGGAGAGGGGGGGGTTTTTTACTGAGGTGAAGGGGGATCTATACTTGGTGGAGAGGGGGTCTGTACTGAGGTGAGGGGGGATCTATACTTGGTGGAGAGGGGGTCTGTACTGAGGTGAGGGGGGGATCTATACTTGATGGAGAGGGGGTCTTTACTGAGGTGAGGGGGGATCTATACTTGGTGGAGAGGGGGTCTGTACTGAGGTGAGGGGGGATCTATACTTGGTGGAGAAGGGGTCTGTACTGAGGTGAGGGGGGATCTATACTTGGTGGAGATGGGGATTGTGCTGAGGTGAGGGGAGTCTATACTTGGTGGAGAGGGGGTCTGTACTGAGGTGAGGTGGGGATCTATACTTGGTGGAGAGGGGGTTTGTACTGAGGTGAGGGGGGTCTATACTTGGTGGAGAGGGGGTCTGTTCTGAGGTGAGGGGGGATCTATACTTGGTGGAGAGGGGGTCTGTACTGAGGTGAGGGGGGATCTATACTTGGTGGAGAGGGGGTCTGTACTGAGGTGAGAGGGGGATCTGTACTTGGTGGAGAGGGGGTCTGTACTGAGGTAAGGGGGGGTCTATACTTGGAGGAGAGGGGGTCTGTACTGAGGAGAGGGGGGATCTATACTTGGTGGAGATGGGGTCTGTACTGAGGTGAGGGGGGATCTATACTTGGTGGAGAGGGGGGTCTGTACTGAGGTAAGGGGGGGGTCTATACTTGGAGGAGAGGGGGTCTGTACTGAGGAGAGGGGGGATCTATACTTGGTGGAGAGGGGGTCTGTACTGAGGTGAGGGGGGATCTATACTTGCTGGAGAGCAGGAGCGTATTTACCGCAAGGCAGCATTTTTGAATGGGGGGGGCGGTAGTACTGGGGCAGGGAAGTGGGGGGGGGGGGTGCCGGCAGCGACCCATTTTTGCGTTGCCTAGGGCAGCACAAAACTTAAATACACCACTGCTTTTAATAAACACACACTCACCTGTCCCAGGACCAGTGGTCAGTAGTAGGGGCCCCATGAGATGCCCCTGGTACCTTTTTCATAGGCTTTTTTGAGTTTGGGCAAGGACACAGGGGCCCCATGATCCCCTATTCCCCATGAGTTGTCAGTCCGCCCCTGCCCAGGACCCAGCAATCTGTGCTCATCCGTCTCGTCTCTTCCTCTTCTCCGCCCGGCGCTGGCATCTCAACTGTGGGCACCCGGCTGTGACAGTTTGTTGCTTCACAGCCGGGTGCCAACTGCACATGTGCGAGTCGTGCTGCGCATTCCAATTGGTCTGGCAGTCTTCTGGGACCTGTGAAAGTTTCCAGGAGCCTGCAGGAACAAAGAGGGGGCTGAACCTCCAGCTCACTTTGTGGCAGCAAACTGAGCCAGAAGTGGGAGCGGGTAACTGTCAAAACCAGATATCCACTCCCCCTCCTCCCTAAAAGGTGCCAAATATGGCAGTGAAGGGGGAGAGAATGCAAACAAGCGGAGCTTCTACTTTTGGGTGGAACTCCGCTTTAAGCTCTTTTAGTAGGTTTCCTTTTTAAAAAGAACAAACACCAGGCAACTGCAAAAATCAAAACCAGAGTGAATTATTTCACAAAAAAAGCTAGCTGCTTCATACACAGTATTTAAGCACTTTCAGAAAGCTGCATTTTGAAAAGGCAAACAACAGACAGATTTTAATGAAGAAATCAACATAATAGTGTTCATATTTTCACCAAAGAAAAAGTCATCAAAATATTGCACTGACTCTATACAAAGTATTTAACCACTTTATGTATATAAGTAACTAAATGGCCAGACAGCATCCTTGCTTGACAGCAGAGAGTGTTGGCTAAAGGCAAAGAATCAATTGGAACATCTATGTGCCATTGATTGCTGTGATGACCAACCACAGAGACCACCACATTCGTTAGCCCTCCCCTACATCTCACAACAGAAAAGATGGAGGAAATTGAGGATTTATTTACTTAATCCATTCATGAAATTCTTCTGGTTGCAGCAGAGGAAAGCTCTGATGAAAGGCGTGGGTGGGCTTAAGGTCCACCAACAACCAATGATTGCGAGATTGTTTTGGGGGGTTTAAAATGCCAATGACCACTAAGGATTGTTGGGGTATTTTTTTTTTTTTTGGGGGGGGGGTTAAAGTACTGAGGACCACCAATAATGGGGGAGTGGGCATTTTAAATACCACAGACCACCAATGACTGTGGGATTTTCTTGGGGGTTAAAGTGTTACTGACCAGTAATATTTGTGGGATTGTTTTGAAGGGGGTTAAAGTGTGTTGGCTAATTTATGACATCTAGCCATTGTACACAATACAATTTCAGTGCAATGTAATTTCAGCCTTTCAATGTTTCTTCCTTCTACAATGAAAGACTTTTACTTGGTCTCAGTGGGTGACTTTTAAAGGTTTAGCATACTTAATATATTCTTTACCAACCTCAGCACCAGCATGTTTCCTAATTTGCAAAATACTGTGGCAAAACTGTCTAAATTGGCCCACAAAAAAAGCCAGTTGAGTGTGTCAAGGTGTTGTCGAACATATTGTTTCCAAGCTATATTGTAGCATTGGCACAGTAAAAGCTTCTTTTTGGCAACTTGACCATGCAGCTCATTTTTGTTCAGATAATGTTGTATCGTGCTCCTTAAGAACAACTACACCATCTTTTTCCACAGCAGCCTATATTTCTCCTGAAGTTACCTGTGGGTTTTTCTTTGTATACCAAACTATTCTTCTGGCAGTAGTGGCTGCAACATTTCTTGGTCTACCTGATCTTGGCTTGGTATGAAGAGATCTCCAAATTTCCCACTACTTAATAAGTGGTTGAATAGTACTGACTTGAATATTCAAGGCTTTGGATATCTTTTTATATCATTTTCCATCTTTATAAAGTTCCATTACTTTGTTACACAGGTCTTTGGACAGTTCTTTTCTGCCCTCCATGGCTCAGTATCTAGTCTGCTCAGTGCATCCATGTGAGAGCTAACAAATTCATTGACACAGGCAGCAATTGCAATTTAAAAAAGCCGCAGATGTGGGCAATTACGCTTTAATTGCCATTTAAAATCTATATGTGTCACCTTGTGTATCTGTAGGCTAAACATTCCAGGGTATGTACAGTTTTGATCAGGGCCATTTGGGTGATTTATGTTATTATGATTTAAAAAGTAAACAAAACAGTTCTCCCGTGTCAGCTCCTGCACACTGCTTTGCATGGCTGTGCACAGCACAGTGCACAGCCATGCAAAGCAATGTGCTTACAATGAAGCATACAGACACAACCCCTAGTAAAACACCACACAGCACACTGTTAACCCTTTCATCACCCCAGATGTTAACCCCTTCCTGCTCAGTGCCATTAGTACAGTGTCAGTTCTTTTTATTAGCACTGATCACTGTATTGGTGTCAATGGGGATGTCAGTGACACCAAGTCAGTTCCCCCCAGTGTCAGAATGCCTGCCGTAGTCCCGCTATAAGTCGCTGTTTGCCACCATTACTAGTAAAAATAAAATAAAAAATCCCAGTATATATACCGCCATTTGTAGATACTATAACTTTCACGTAAACCAATTTACACGTATTGGTATTTTTTTTTAGCAAATATATGTAGCAGAATACATTTTGGCCTAACTGTATGACGAAATTTGATTTTTAAATTTTTTTACTGGATATGTTCAATAGCAAAAAGTAAAAAATATAGTTTTTCTCAAAATTGTCCGTATTTTTTTGTTATAGCGCAAAAAATAAAAAAATGCACAGGTGTTAAAATACCACCAAAAGAAAGCTCTATTCGTGGGAAAAAAAGGACATAAATTTCATTTGGGTGCAGCATTGCATGACCATGCAATTGTCAGTCAAAGTAACACAGCGCAAAAAATGTCCTGTTCAGGAAGGGGGGGTAAATCCTCTGGAGGGCAAGTGGTTAAACACAATACACAGTAATCAGACAATATGGAATCCTAGCACACTGCAGTTTGCAGTTATGCATCACAACACAGAACAGTAAACACGAGGGGGGAGGGGGAGCCACAAACTATGTAGCCCACCACACTGCCATTCACTATGATAATTTAGCACAGTTCCGCAACTATCTCTCCCTGCAAACATTCTGTCAGCTGTCAGCTCCAAGTCACCACACATACTGACAAAAAGGCTGCCGGGAACCTGACCATGCTTCAAATGCCAAGAACTGCAAATGCTTGAGTTTGAGTTAAAATTTTGTTTGACCCAAAGCTCATCCCTAACAATATCTGATCCCTGTTTCAATGGTATCAGAGTTTCATTTAGCAGAAAGCAATACCCTGTTTAATATTCTAATTTGTGCAAGAAATCGTGTGGACGTTGGCTGGTTTCTGAGGAATATAGCCTATAGATTTTTATGTTAGCTCTGCTGTATTATAAGATTTTTTTGTTTAAATAACATATTAGTAAAACATACATGTGTACACACAAGGCCTATATACTGCACATGGCAAGATATAAATATATCAAATGTTGGTACTGTAATTAATGTCATAGTAATCAAAACTGCAAGGTTATGTGGCATCTCTTTCTGGAGATTCTATAAAAAGAAATGCCAAGCTTTCAGACTCTTCTGTTAGGTGACAAAGGTTGAGTTAAATGAAGATCTTGATGTCAGGAATGAAAATTAAATCTGACTAATCTTTGGCTTAAGAAAAGGTGATTTATTTATAGAAGGCAAAAAAAAACTTAAAATGTGACATTGGGGAACATACCAGAATAAAAAGGCAAAGAAAAATGCCGCTAAAAGAAGACAGCATATTAAATAGTGCCAATAAAAATAAAAGGTAAGCTAAGGAGGACATTTATGTGATTGTATAATATAGACTGCATTCCTGGAATACTAATAAACTGTTAGGTTAATGCAGTAAATTTAAAAGCTACACTGCTAAGGTAGTAACATTATACTGTGTATTGTGCATGTATTGTAATGATAGCAGGCTTGCTTTCAGTGTTTTTCACAATCTGGGGATGGGGCCAGGAGGGTGATGTTGTTTTGCAGGATCCACACTCAAGGTACATTAGGCTTTATTGTGTCTGCAGACTCGTGCATAGACAGTTCTTCCATCAAAAACACAAAACTCAAAAAAAACCCAAATACTAGCTTCTCGACATTTACTACACAACTCAAGTCCTTCTCTAACAAAATATAACAATCATGCTAAAGGGGCTGGCATTACAGTGTCTCTCTATAGGCCAGCGTAATTTAATTCCCTTGTGTTTGCAGGGTACACTAACAAAAGTTCAAATATTACCCTTTCAAGTTCAATGAGTGAGCAGTACTCCCTAAAGTAGACACCCAGAGTTCATGCTCATACCCATGAGTTATGAGTATATGAGTCAAACAACAGACATTTAGAAAAGCTAAAGGTTATTTGGGTTACAGGAACCATTTTATTTATGGGCCCTGCTTTATTTTAGCTGCATCGGTTAGATGCACTAAATCAAATATGTGTGTGTTTGTATTGTAGAGGGATAAGAGGGCTTCTGAGTTATGTGCATTAAAGAATAAGTATGAGAAAATACATAACCCATGTTAATATTGTATCAGCTGTAGGCATGCCAGACTAGGAGACTCTACAGTTCGGCTCATGCTAATGAGGAGTACTATTAAATCCTCCTTTAGAGTCTAAGTTGGTCTTTTCACCTTTGATGTACTGTCTCTCAGCTCCTGTGGATGCATAACAGTGTAAAATAAAAGAGCTTGTTTGCATTCCTGTCTCTAATGTGACAGCACATCTGTTACTATTAGCTTGGAGGAGAAACCAAAAGACAGCATTATCAAGTGATGTCAGGTAGTAGATATGGCAGCAGATGATGGATCCAAGAGGACCATTTCAAACACCACAGCCTTCCACTGACAAAATCAATAATGATGAATAAGTGGCTAATATACTGTAAATCAATGTTTTATGCATTATCAAAGTCTGCCAAAAGCTCTCCTCCTGATCTCATATAGTATATATCGGGGGAAGGCAACCTTTGAGAGGTGGAGATCTACCTGAACAACATGAAAGAGATCAAAGATCACAGGGGTTTGGTGCCCTTTTTTAAAAGAAATTACCAAGGCATACCTAAATAGTATGGACAATTTAGAAAACTATAACAAAACAAATGTTATTATAAATATATAAACTTATGCAGTGTGGGCGTAGGGGGGTTGGGGCACCAGGGGAGCACATTGGGGGCCCGAGCAGCAGAAAGAAGAGGAACAGAGACAGGATTAGTGGTGGGGCTGGCATTTACTGGTACCAATCACTTGTATCACCTGTACTGTTCTACTGCAGCACCTGAATACTTCTAAGTTAACCTTCAGCTGCTGCAGGAGGAAATACAGCCATTGGTTCCAGTAAATGCCACCTCACCGCCCCTCTTGTTAAGGATTTTAAAATAGCATTATATTTGGGTGACAGGTGATGTTGGAAGCCCCAACCCCTGTTTAGGAAAAGTTGATCCAGACTGAAATTAATTTCCCCCTTTTACAGCTTTTTAAAAGCAGATAGCTGATAGAAGGTAGCGGATGGAGCAAGGGAACAACTGGGGCTTGCAGAATAATTATTACAGGAGGGGCAGTTCTTTAAGATGTTCTTTTACCGGTTATCGTTGGACCCCTTAAGAGTGTTGGTGCACTTAACAACAGTCCCAGTTGACCTGTGTGTGGTATAATTGCAGTATAGATATGGTATCATCTCGGCACAGGTGCAAGGTAGTTTGGATGCAGTAAAGGTGCGGTATAACATGGAATAGTGTTACTATAGGTGCCGTCTAGGATAGGAATAAGTGGGGTATAGGGTGCAGTTACCATAGTAACACTGTACTACTCTGGGGAGGTGCTCAGGATTATTTTCTCTTACGTGTATGATTGCTTATAACTGAATTTTACAGTTAAATGTAACCATTGTTTCTGAATGAAAACTATTCATTCAGTGCTTACTATCGTGATTAGCTATGATTGGCCACAACTATTCACATGGTACAGATGGGCTGTGATAGGCCCTAAATGTACCATGTGATCAATCACAGAGATCATCACAATAACACACAATGAAAGGCATGAATCAAAGCCTTTCATTGTGGACAATTGTCATGTGATCTGCTGTGATTGGCCACCGCCAGTGGCCAGTACAGTGACCTGTCATTGGCTGTGTCCGGTGGACTCAGTGGGTGAAATTTAAGCAGGAGGGCAGCCCATCATATGACATCCTCCCAGGAACAATATTATTGAAAATAACATTTAGTGACTGTGCAATTATATTTAACACCTTCTCACCTGGGCCATTGTAATATGACGGTCAGGCAGGAAGAGGTTAAATATAATTGCACTTTTACTAAATATTATGTATTTTTACTTGGGGATACCTTTCTCATGGTAAATCCTGCTTTTTGTAGCATAGTCAGTTCCTATGTTTGCATTAAATCTTGCTGTAAATTTTATAGGCATCACCACAGGATGCTGTATGAAGACTAGAGCAATCTCATTTCCCATCGCAAATTGGTCAGAATCAGGAAGCTATATGCAGTATAGCTGGAGACTTCTCTTTGGTATAGGTAATTCCTCATAGTGGCATATTTTAAGAAGCTGCTGCAGAGCTATAGATATTTTTTTTCTTTGAGGGGGGTACTTTCCTTGAGGACCCAAAGCTGACCCGCCTTCAACCGAGAACAATTAGGTCAATTATAGGTGTGCTAAATTGCGGTGGGAGGGAGCTTAAAAGTTAAGCCAACTCATGGTAACATATACACAGTCCTTGTACCCATGAAATATGCTTTAATTACTTTACCACAAGCGAGGCCTAACTCCCTACTTCCAACACTGATGGTCAGTGGTGGTGTTATGTAACGTCCAGGTGGACTGACCATCAGTGTTGGGAGTAAATAGTTAGGCCTCTCTTGTGGCTCAAGTCAGCCAGATGCAGTCATCACAAAGCAGCTTATTCAATCATAGAAGCTGACTAAATCTCTAAGTCACCACCTCCCTGCCTTCATACATGCCACACCGCATCCCTTCACGTGCTCAGCATGAATTACACTACCATTACAAGTTGGAGATGAGAGTAAGGTGACAGAGGGTGGGACTGGTATCACCGCTGGAGATGTGGGCAGGCAGGAGGCAGAACTGGTAGGCAGCGCTGTTACTGCTTAGATCCTAAAGACTGCAGAATTGCTGGCTGGGAATCCTAGCCCAGCTGTTGTGTTTGCATGGACAGATGCTCAGAGGAAGGGTTGGACCCTATATACCCTACCTTACCTATGCCCCTGGGACAAGTACAAATATATAAGTTAAGTCAAAGTGCAGTCATACCTAAAATATGCCACAAAACAATCTCTGACCCAAATGATTCCAAATGACAAAAGTATACACTCAGATTTGCTTTTGTATATCATTTATTCACTAAACTAAAATTCATTAGATGGAAATGCACCCTGCATTCGTCAGATTTGCATTTCAACTAGTTGCCTTT